TATTTTCACTTTACATAGTGTCTTCAAGTTTTATTCATGTTACAGCATGTCTCAGAATTTACTTTCTTTTAAAGCCTGAATAATATTCCATTGTATATAAATATATATATATATATATATATATATATATATCTCCATATATATCACATGTTATTTATCCCATTTCTTAGTCAATGGACACTTGAGATGCTTCTACCTTTGGATTTTGTGAATGCAGTTGCTATGAACATTGGGGTACAAATATTTCTATGATACCAGCTTTCATTTCTTTTATGGATATACTGACTGTTTGAATTGCTAAGTCATATAGGAATTCTCTCATTAAGTTTTTATGGAACCACTACACTATTTTTGATAGTGGCTGCATCATTATACATTCTCACAAGAAGTGCACAGGTTTCCTGATTTCTCCACATTCTCATCAACACTTAGTATTTTCTGAATCTTTGAAACAACCATCCTAATGAGTAGAAGGAGGTGTCTCATGAAGGTTATGATTTATATTACCCTAAGGATTAGTGATGATGTGCATATTTTCAAGTGCTTAAGCCATCCTTTATCTTCTCTGGTGAAATGTTCATTCTAGCACTTTGCACATTTTTAATCAGGTTTTGTCCTCTTTGTTGATGTTATGAAGTTGTACAAATACTTTATATATTTTGGACATTAACTCTTAAAAGATATATGATTCCAAATATTTTCTGCTATTCTGTGGGTTGTCTTTACACTCTTGACAGTGTCCTCAGATGTACAAAGTTAACTTTGATGAAGACCAGTATATCTGTCTTTGCTTTCATTGCCTAAGCTCTTGGTGTCATGTTCAAGGAATCATTGCCAAATTCAATGTCACGAAGACTTTCTGTAAGTAGTAAACTATTATTCAGCAAGTCAGTCCAATATTCCTAGCTATAATATTTTCTATGAGCCATTCAGTCACCAAAATTATTTGAAATATCAAAATCTTCCTCCCTCTTCTAAGGATTTCTAAACTACTAGGAAAGGGAAAGCAGAAAATAATTTTGGAACTTGATAAGAGTCAGTTGATTTAAAGAATGATTTCAAGCTGGGTCTTGAGTAGTAGAGAGTTTGTGGATTAAAGACAGTACTTATAAGAAAATTTATAGCATTGAATGTATATGCAAATCTTTGTTTCCTAAAAATGAGAATGATATAAAATCCATAATCTAACATCCACATTAGAAAACTGGAAAATGAAGAGCTAATTAATTTCCAAGTAAGCAGAAGAAAAGAAGTCACAAAAATTAGAACAGGAATCAATGAAATTCAAAACAGGACATTAAGAGATAAAAATGCCTATTTCTCACACATTTCCTAACACATTAAAATTTTTTCATTTGCCAGTCAAGAAGGTTAAAGGATGATAAGGTAGGTTTAATTTGTAATTTTTATTTTTAAGCTATTTTCATAAGTTTAATAGCATTGCCATTTACTCATATGTAACCTGTCCTGTCAAATCATTTACCCATGTTTCCATTACCTTAGAAGTTTACCTGGAAACCTGGCATATTGCTTAGTAAAAACCAGCAAGTTCTTTAATAATATATGTAATATGAACTCAATATATTAAAGAAAAACTTTTAAATCCACATGCATGTTTGTACATAATATACACCATGCATTAATATATACCTATGCACACATTTATGTATAGTTATATACACAGAACTAACTATACACGTGTCATCTTACGAATGCATCCCCAGAATAAATGGTTTTCTCTAGGACAGAAGCAGGGAAAAAGTTAATGGATCATGTCATTTCTCATCTTATGCACTTCAAAACAGAAGAAAGGGGAAAAGATGGCTGGAATTTACCACATATACATGTGCACTTGCTAATGCTGTACACATGCTATGAGACTTATCATTTTAGCACCAAAACATCAAATTACTATCACATATATATTATGTGCAAAACATAGAGATAGAAACTAGAAAAATAATACAATCTGGTGAGGCTTTCCAGAGATATTGTTCTTATTTGGGGAGAGAACAACTACACGAAGAACACTTGAGCAGCAATATGAAACCATATATTCATAGTTGATTCTAAGTTGGATAGAAAGTGAACAGAACATTCCAAATCTTTACTTGATGTTTACAGTAACACTCAAGCAGAACAGGAATTCCAACACTTAATGTCCATTCCTAATGGTCACTGATCTTGTCACTATAAAGGCTAGAGCTGTCCCTGGGCACAGGCTCTCTCTTTCAAATGCAAACCTCCAGTAACTCTTGGTGACACTCCTCCAAGAGAGCTTCCCTGCCCTCTTCCCCTTTGTCCCTATCTGTGCTCATCATTATGAGGACCAGCATGGCCTCCGGGGAGTCTGTTTTCTTTAATTTTCTACTTGCATTATGCACAAAAGAAGGAAAGTCTTCAATCTGACTCAGAAATTAATAACACTTTTTATTTAAAACATAGGAGGAATGGCTCTGAATTATCATACACTAATCATTTTTCTCAGTTTTATAGTGATAGCATATTAACAACTCAACACTAGGTAAGTATTGTCATATGTAGCAGTCAATACTGTGTTACAGAGTATGGAGAACAGCCAATATAGTTTTGCAGTAAAATTCAAAAAATCTCCTTTATGGACACTGGATGTTCACTGCATGTTAAGGGAATGGGGAGACAACAGGTCAGAGAAGACATCCCTAATAGTAGGAAGGAGGTGGAGGATGCCATCGATAAGGGAGAGCTGCATATGACAGCCACAGCAGCCAGATGATCTGACCTTCTTCATACAGGAATGAAGCAGATTTTGTACAAGGGTGGCACAGAAATAAACCCAGAGGAAACTGGAGTGGCATCGAGCTTCTTTGGATCAATCAAAGATCTCAGGTTAAAGTTCTGTAAAATGCTGGTCAGGAATAAAAACAGCTCCATGCGGGCCAGTCCCTCGCCCAAACAAATCCGTCTTCCTGAAAGTAATAAATACCAGGAGAGTTAACACTGTGTTTGTGACTGTCATAAACAGAATGTGCAGTAACTCATTGAGGAATGTTTGTATGCAAAAACAAATTAATGAATGGATGGATGGATGGAAGGATTGCTGCATAGACAAATGAAAAGAGAATGGGCACACTTCCCATCCAGATAACATCTGATCTTAACAAGGACCCTTCATAAGATAAGTATTCACTGAGTGTCAGCTACACACTAAGCACTTCATTAAGTATTATAATAGCTCTTTTGATGTTTTGAGTTTAAATCTATGTATTTATACAACCACACCCATATTCCCATATTTCCTGTTCCTAGTCTGAAATTCCGTGATCTTGCCTTTCACTCTTCATATCTTCTATGATCAGCTCAGGCCATACACACTTTTCATCAATCTACAGGACACCAAGAAGATTCAAATTTTTTATTATTCTGTCCCTTTTGGCCAACACACACTTTTCAGAGACTAAATTCAGGACACAGGTCAAATTCCATTTCTTCTTTGCATTCTTTGCCATGCACTCAATTAATAAAATCTTGCCTTCTCTGCATTGCCTCAACATCATATTATCACTTTCAATGAAGCATAGATCATCTGGAATCATAATTGCCTATTTGTTTATTTTATTGATTGACTTTTCTATTATGCTAAAATGTGACTTCTTGAAGGGAGGTTTCCATCCTTGTTGTCTTGGGATCTACGGTCCCAGATAAAGCAGACATAAAAGGTCACAGAATAGAGGAGATTCCATGGCTACAAAGTACACACATTGCAAGAATGAAGAACCAATACCCAAGATGTATAGTCAGGACTGGAGGAACAGCAGGGTGCTGTGGAATCATTTCAGAGGATCAGGCCTCATTCACAATGTTTCCCTGGCCCCATGCATAGTTGGCAAAGGTTCCAACATCCTTGATTTAGAGCAAATGCCCTGCTCCTGTGGTTCATTACCTCCTCAAAAATGCCCTGCCTTCTCTCTTTTCCATTTTCTCTACCTCTGTTGAGGTAGCTGCTGTTAGAATATTGCTTACTGCAGCTTATTATGGCTCAGTGTGGGGTAGGAGAGAGCAAGAAGCAGGCAGGTTCTTCTTCCTCTGTCCCCTATACCCAGCAGCCTGTGCTTTGCTTTCCACTCTCACAGTCAAGTCCTACGCATTACAATGGGCTGTTTATTCATCTGCTTTCCTAACTGCAGGTGCAGACCATTGGAGTCCATTCTGTGCATGTTCACATGTGAATCCCAAAAGCTCAGCTGGGTGGTGAGGACACCAATTGGAAGACACTCACTGAAACTGTAGAGTGAGAACTTTTGCAGTGGCAGGTGAGAAATGTCTAAATGAATTTTGCATTCTAGTAGGAGTTCTTGAATACCTCAGTGATGTATCCAGGGCAGAATTCGATTTAACTATACTTCAGCCTTCCTGATTATGAAGAACCAGATCAACTCCCCATAGCACTGTGATGAATCTGGCCCCATAATGAGGATGTATAATTATGAAGGAAATACATAGGTGTTGGCAGTGGTGTTCCTGATCATGCTCAAGGATCATTTCTACCTGCCACAGAGTAGAAACCATGTAAGTTCCAACTAATCCCAGAGAGTTTTCTTGTACCCTAAAATAAGGGAAATAAATTTCTACTACCTGTTGAGAAAGCCATGAAGAAGTCGCTTTTTTTAAAGTTGCCACTTTCATCCAGAAAATGTCCAGGGTCGAACTTCTCTGGGTTGGGGAATTCTTTGTCGTCGTGCAGCACAGATGTCAGGGATGGTAATATGGTTGTGCCCTGGAAGCAACAGACATAGGCAGAGCAAATTGTAAAGGAGTCATCAAGCTGTTAGAAACAATAGTAATTACCTATATAAATCTTTTGATCTATAGACGAAGAAACACAGGTCCAAAGAAGAACAGGAACATTTCTAGACACACAGACCCAGTAATCAACAAGGATGAGTTTAAGACCAGTGGCAATGATCTTGCTGAAGTGCTCTCCAACCAAGGTTGAAATCCTGAGCACCTGGTCACTGGAGTGATAAACCTTCTGAATCTGCTGTCCTTATCATCAAGGTTGGAACCCAGGGTCTGTCCCCACAGGCTGCTCTATTTCATCACTTCAGTTTTCACACATCCTATATGTAGACTATGGTGTAAAATCAAAATCTCTCTTGGTTCTTAAAATATCCACAGTACTTGTTTATAGGACTTTTTAAAATTAGATCATATGATCTAGTAAAGTTTAAAATGACATCATGCAACATGAAAACAAGAAGCACAGTAACAAGAATAGAATGACTGAGTGTTTACTATTGCCAAGTAGGTTTTTTTGTCTTGGTATAAAATCATGGAGGAGATATTTATTAGAGGTTGATCCTAACTTAAAACTACAGAAGGAACGATGAAATTAGAAAAATCCTCACTTTGTGACTATTCAGGTCAGGATCATCAGTTAAAGCTGAAACTGTTGGGTGTGTGATTTAGGATGCAGGATTTACACAAAGCCTTAAAGTACCATGCCATGGATATTTATTAATTATACATAAATCTACATTGCAAAACCTCTGCAGTGCAGAGATTTGACAGATACTACCTTATTTCTGAGGAAATGAGCATAACCAATAATGGCAGAAGTGACATACATGCCCCCACCTCATCAATGTGATTCTGTGGGATAGTCGAAGCACCAATGCCTTATTTTTCCTAAATCATACCTGGAATCTAATCTTTAGAAAACAATCACACAAAAACAACCTGAGGAACATTTTGAATGGCTACTAGCCTGGACTCCACAGAAAGGTCAACATACTGGAAGGAAACAAATGAAGGAAAGCAAGTATGTGCTTGATCACAGAAGACTAAAGAGCATGATAAGCAAATTATATGCTTGTTCCTTGGCTGGATGGTAAATGCCAAGAGAATAAAAGTTAAAATAATTCTAGTAAAATTGGGAAAATGTATATATAGGCTGTATATTAGATCATATTATGGTATCAGTAACTCCTGAGTGTAAATGGTATTTTTATTATTTAGATGAAAATCTTTGCTTTTGGGGCATACGTGTGAAAGTGCTGGTATGTAGAGAAATGCATACAAAGATATAAAAGTAGTATATTCACACTTTCATATATACACACATGTATTATTATCTTTGTTTTAATATTATTTAGATTTAACCTTTTTAAAATACAACTGTAGGGGAAAAATCCATCTCCTAATTTTGTACTATTAAATGCATATAATTCTATTTATAAAACTATTTCCCTGAAAGTTTAAACAAGTAATATATGAAAATGTTTCCTTAAGATATGAAAGCACATATACTTTCAACAAATGATATTCAAACAATCGGAAATTCATAAGGAAAAAATTGAAGCATCACTGTTGTTACTCCACATCATAAATGAAAATTAACTTGAAATGTGTTTTTATCTAAATGGAAGTGGGAAGACAATAAAACATCTATAAAAAGAGAAGTGTAAATCTCTGGGGCCATTTGGTGGCAAATATTTTTCAGATGTGGCACACAAAACACAATCAGCCTCACATCATTCCAAAAATTTCTGCTGAACAGAAATGTCTTCCACTAGAAACAACAGCAGACCATGCATGAATTCAACATACCTCCTATTTTGGTGTAATCCATCTGTAAGAATGTTTTTACAGATACAAAGAATAACTATTTTGACAAATGAAAAATATATGAAATTTAATTTTCTTTCTCCATAAAACTTGGCACATATCCGTTCTCATTCTATCACACATTGTCTGTGACTGCTTCCATGCCACACTGGCAGAGGTCAGTAGTGCAGCAGGAAACCTATGGCCTGAAATGTCTAGAGTATTTACTACGTGGCCATCAAAGAAAGTGTTGGCCGGCCGGGCGCGGTGGTTCACGCCTGTAATCCCAGCACTCTGGGAGGCCGAGGCGGGTGGATTGCTCAAGGTCAGGAGTTCGAAACCACTCTGAGCAAGAGCGAGACCCTGTCTCTACTACAAATAGAAAGAAATTAATTGGCCAACTGATATATAGAAAAAATTAGCCAGGAACGGTGGCGCATGCCTGTAGTCCCAGCTACTCGGGAGGCTGAGGCAGTAGGATCACTTGAGCCCTGGAGTTTGATGTCACTGTGTGGTTGGCTGACGCCACGGCACTCAGCCCAGGCAACAAAGTGAGACTCTGTCTCAAAAAAAAAAAAAAAAAAAGAACAGAAAGTGTTGGCCAACTCCTGTCTTAGACTATTGTCTCCACCTAGAGTAGTGTCTACAACCTGTGGCAAAAGAGCCCATTTATCTCACTTGTAGGGGATGGAATTAGCCACACAGAGTTGCATGTTTCTATACTACACTGTCCTGTGCAGAAGGGAATGAATGGATCATTCCTCGGGTCTGGGCTCTCTAGATTCAAAACTCACCAGGCACAGCATGAGCCACCCTACCCGCTGGTGAATGGGTGATCTCAGCAGATGCATCGCTCCCCAGGGGTGGGTCCCCAATCTGATGCACTGGATGGGGGTGAGGAGGTGGCAATCCCTGTCTGATTCCTCAGTCTATTTCCCATGTAGATAGCTACAGGAGAGCAAGTGTCATTACTATTATCCTCATATTGGAGTAGTCAGAAGCAAATTCTTTCTTAGCCATGTTATTGGTGAAAACAGAATGAGCTGAAATGCTAATCCTTGTACCCAATCACTGATCTCGGGGAGAGTCCCATAATCCCTTGGTAAAGTTATCAGTTCTATCACCTCCCGGAAATGACATATCTGCAAACTTACCAATGTGATTTATTTTTGCCCCATGAAAATACAATATTTAGTTATCTAATTTTAAATTTTGACAGTTATATCTCATAGGTCTAGTAGAATAGAGTAGCCTGCAACATAGCAACTAGACCATCTGGATGAATACGGAAACCATGTGAAAAAGGCATTGCACAGCTGCTAAGGAAAAAAATTGGTCTGAAGATCCAGAGATGGGAAAACATCAGAGAGCTACACTCATGGCTATAGTTAACTATGGACTCTGTTCACAGCGTGTCCACTTGGGAGTGAGGGCAGGAGGTGTTGCAGCTTTGTGAATGCCGTGGGAGGAGAATGCTCCCTTTCTGGAAGAAGATAAACATCGTCCCAAATTAATATATAACATCTAGTATTTAGTCAGAAGTTGTTAGACAATTCAATGATACATTGAAGTGAGCAGGAGATGAAGGGTAGGGAGAGGAGAAGCTCATAAAAACAGACCCACATTAGGGAACATTTCTCACCTACTTTTATACACCACCATAATCTTGATACCGAAACTCTGACAAAAACAATTGTGAAAAAAAGATTAGAGACCAAAAGGCCTTATGAATAAAAATACAAAAGTCCCTGTATGATATGGAGGAGATCAAATCGAGCTATGTGTATAGATTTATGCGTATTTAGTGAGGAAAGTGAGTCCAATAAATAATTAAACCAAAAGATGCCAAGAACCATTTGATAAAATTATCCACACATTCATGACAAAAGTTATATGAAAATAACTGAAGTGAGCAAAATTTCCTAATCTCATAAAGATTGTACGTCTAAATCTGCTTAAAGAAGCATTCTCCATAATGAAATACTAAACCTCTATCCCTTCCCACAGATCAGAATTGAAATAGGGATGCCCACTATCACTAATTCTATTTAACACTATCCTGTAATCCTGATCAGTTCAGTAATACAATAAAGAGAAATTAAGGACACAAGAACTGGAAAATATAAATAAAACAAATAATAACCTACACAGAAGGATAATGTACATGGAAATTCCAGATGATTCTACCAACAAATTATTAACAATGATTAATCAACTTAGCAAGGTTACTACACATGAGGGCACCAGAATGATAGAAACCAATTTCCAGATAGCAGGTATAAAGAGAGGAAAGGGACATTTTAAAAATATAGGAGCAACAACGTGCTAATTATTTAAGAAAATTCTGGGATTTAAACCACAGCACCAAAAACACATTACTGAGAAAATAGAAGAAAATACAGATAGGTTGGGAGCATAACCATTTGCATAAATTGAAAGAAGAAAATCCAGATAGGTTGGGAGCATAACCATTTGCATAAATTGAAAGATACAAGGCATTAAAATGTTAATTCTTTCAAAATCGAACTATAGATTTAATATTACCTTGTTAAAAATCCCAGAAGAGTGTTTCGGGAAATTGACAAAGTGATACTTTTAATATTTATTTGAAAGTGTAAACACTTAAGAGTAGCCAAAACAATATTGAAGAGGTAGAACCTACTTGGAAGACACACACTGCGAGGAGCCAAGACCTTTTATAAATATAACCCCAAACAAAAGAGCACAAAGTCCATCAAGCTGCCACATGTATGAATTTTGCACTTCTCTCACCTTGTGTTGGTAGAGGATTGGAACCAGACTGTGAATTTGGGAATTTCGAGAGTACTGAGGTACAATGTAGGACCAAAAGTTTACCTTGGGGATCAGGTAGTTTCTGAATTTAATGTCACAGGTCACTGCATGGGGCACACTACAGGGAGCCAGGTCAATGTATCTCTGGATCTCATGCACCACAGCATCTGTGTAGGGCATGTGGCTCCTGTCCTGCATGCAGGGGATCCGCTGTCTGCCAATCACATGGTCAATCTCTTCTTGGACTTTAGCTGATAAGACACAAGTAAGAAGTGACGAAAAAACAGAAAAATGATATATTTCTCATAACAATTTAGGTTTACATGAAGCATAAGGAAGATGTCTAAACAACACTATATGCATGAGTTATATGCACATATGTACACCTGGATTTATACTGAGATTTTCCATAACATATACACATACCACCCACCTATAAACTAGGTGTGACAATGTATTAGTAAATACTTATAAATTAGTATACAAGTTAACTTATAATAAACATAGAACCTATGTTGTTCCAAGTTTTTTTATGTATATTATAAACATAAATTATTTCAAAAAATAAACACAACATAATTAAGTCACGAAATTGCAATCTTCGCAAAATAAAAAACATAAAACAAATATTACATTACTGACAAAATAATATATTGGTTTATTTGAAATTTTATGATATATTTTATTTAACCAAATATTTTCCATTTCCAATGCTCTTTTTCTTTTTTGCATATAAAATTTTTCATCTTGTATCATTTTTCTTCTGCATGAAGAAATTTCTTTGCCATTTCTTGTAGTAAAAATCTGGTGGCAATGAGTTTTCTCAATGTTTTATACTCTGAAAAGTGTTTAGCTTTTATTTTGAAAAACCCTTTTCATTTGGAATAAATTTTAGACTCATATAGAAGTTGCAAATTTAATACAGAGGTTTCTATGTATCACAATAGATCTATATATGGGTATGTGTTTTTTTCTGTGTGTGTGTGTGTGCATGTATGGAATTTAGAATGGTACACTCTGCATCTTCCCACTTCCCGAATGTGGCCACTTGGAGCATTCTAGCAGCTTCTTCTAACTTTATGTTAGTGTTTCTAAATAATAACTCTTTGGTTCTATTTCTTCCATAACCATTTTTAAATAATATTTAAAGATTTCCTGGTGTGGGAGATGGGAATTTTAATCTCCATCTCCACATCATATAAATATAGACACACACAAACACAAACAAGCAGATACACACCTGCACACACACAATTCCTCTCACTTTATTTAACAGAATACATTTAGGCCACAATTTCTACTGATATCACTATTTTCATTGTTTACATCATTCTGACTACATAAATATTCTTCCCTGCTGAGACAACTATGAATACATTACATTTTTACTACTTTCTTGGTCATAAAAATGTTTTTTTGACTTAAATTCATAATTTCTATAACTCAAGTTACAATTGCTTTCAAATGCTCAGATGGATGTTTCAAACTCCAACCAATAATTTCCCAATTATTGGGAAACCACAGACTATTGATCTCTTCTCCCTTATTCTTGGAGTCTCCCCTCAACATGCCTTATACCAAGCCCATTCTGAGTGCCACAGCCTCCCTGACACTCTCCTTCTTCTACATGAGGTGTCCTGATGGCTGGAGCTCATGATGTCCTCTGACTTAGTTGCAAATATAAATATTTAGATGGAGCTCAGCCTCTAGTATTGGAGAAAGAGAAAATAGAGTATAAAGTTTGTGTCAATCATGCATGTTTGAACATACTCTTTCCTGTTTTAATAGGTAAAATAAAATTGAGAATTCTGATAATTTCTGAACCTAATCCTTTATAACCTAATACAATTCTCTGAAAGCTTTTATGCTTTTCTCTTTTATCCTGGTGTTCCAAAAATTCCATGACTCTGTAACTTGGGGCACAAGTTTTGATTTCATTCACTCCACTAAACACTTGGAGAGAATATTCTACAATGATGGTAAATACAATTATCTTTTTCTAGATCTTTCCTCTATCTGGAGTATACAATAGATGGAGGACCCTAGCAACATCTACCGAGCATCTTTTCTGTACTTCACTATACTCATCACTTGTGTTCATACCTGTGACCTCTGGGTGCTTCAGCAGGAGCAGTAGTCCATATCTCAGAGTGCTGCTTGGTGTTTCTGTCCCACCAACAAATAAATCAGATACTGTGATGACCAAGTTTTCCATAGTGAACTCAGACTGTGAGTTGTGCTTTTCCTAGGAAACATTTGATTACAATTATCTGACCAATAATTTGCCAGAATATTAATGTACAGTAAATTTAAAATAACTCACATCATTATAACCTGAGGTATTCATTGTTAGACAAAACTACTATATGGTAGGGCAAAAACTGCAGATCAGTTGACCTAAATTTCATTTCGTACTCCCTAACACTGGCTTGCCTATAAATTTCATTAAGGAGACTATTTTCTTCTAGGTGAGCCATTCAGTGTATTTCTTTCCCCAAGAAATCTAATCCAAAGAGCATTGGTGCCCTTTTTTAGTCCATTCTGTGCTGTCTAAAGGAATACAACAAGCAGTTGTTGGTCCAAGATGGTGAACCAGAGACACCAGCAGCCAGGGCATCTCAGTAAGAAGAGGAAGTTTTAGATGAAAGAGTAATAACAAATGGACAAACATAGATCAGATGAGAGTCTGAAAGAAGGGTGCAAGAAACTATAAGAGGTTCCGCAGGAGTCGGCTATAGAGCAGAACTGGAAGGAGAAAGGTATTGGCAGATTTTAACCCCTGAGAAGCTTGGAGACCAGTGAGAAGGAGAGATAGCACAGTTAATTTCTCCCTCCCTCACATCTCAGACAGTTGGTGGGTTTCCAAGGTGCTAGAGAGACCATCTGCCCACACAAGCCCAGAGACTGCTGGTGCCAGTGAGCGGGGAGCTTCTTACAGACAGGGCACCAAGCTCCCAATCTCACAGGAGCACCTCCCACCACACACACCCACTGGTTGGCAAGCTCTATATTACTTCAAGACCTACCATGTGCCTTTGTCCCCCCCATGGGGCTTCAATTCCCCAGGTTTTGTCTTGCTTATCTCCACCTAGACCAGGGATCCTCACACTTTTTAAACAGGGGGCCAAATCACTGTCCCTCAGTCAGTTGGAGGGCCCTTGGAGAGTGTGGTGCACATTCCACACATGCGCACTGTGGGCCCGGGGCAAGTCGGCTGCTAAGCAGGACAGGCAGCAGTGAGCGGCAAAAACACCTGGCAGGCCGGATAAATGTCCTTGGCAGGCCGCATGTGGCCTGCGGGCCATAGTTTGAGGACACCTGACCTAGACATTTCTCATCTCTGGCCCAGACCACAGGAGCCACAGGGGTCCTGCGTGTCCCATGTGATCTTCATGACTCTAGGGCCTGTTTATTCTGGATGTACTGGCTCCCACAGAGAGGGTCAGACATCCAGAGGGCAGACTTTATTCCAGCCAGATTCTTTCTCACCACTTCCCTTCCCCCAATGGAGGCTGCCGAGAGACACAGTTGAGCCACCACACAGAGGCTTCCAGAGGCGGTTGGGCTCAGACCTTTCCTTTTGGGGTCCTGCAAAAGACTAAAGGGGGCTTAGACTGGAGCTCCTTGCTTGCTGGCCCTGCCTTGTACTGTTTGCCTGGTGGCCCCATCACAGCAATATATGCCTGGAGGTGGTGGGACATTGAACAGGCTTGGGCACCCTGTGTGTGACTGAGGAGCAGAATGAATCTCCCTGGCATGCTCAGGTATTAATCTTTGAGGCCCCAGGGAGAGGCCCACAGGCCAGATTCCATATTCCCATGTCTCAGTGGTATTGCCCAGCAGCATGGAGGGCACATTTGTGAATTAGTCTTGGGAGGCGTGGGAGCCTAAGCAGCAGATCAGGGGGGAGAGTGCAATGTGGATCCTAGCTGTGGAGTGTTTGTGGGGCACCACTCCTCTCATGGGAGGGTTGTACATCAGCTCAGGCCAGGATCAAGAGACGGGAACCTCCTGGCCTGCATCACAGTTGTAGGGGGCTCAGCTCGTCTGAGGTCCTACCTGGCAGAAAACCTACCAAATAAGGGAGGGATGAAAGGAGTGAGGCCAGATATAGACTCCACATGCAGACTTTCTGGTTGTGGGGGATCACTTCATCCCTCCACAGCTTTGTCCAGAGGTGGAGAATAGAATTTTGACCCTTGCTAAAAGCATTTGTGGAGCTTGAGGATAGGCTCACCCAACCTAGCCCCTCCCATCCTCACTTCCCAACCTACCTCTGCTGTGGTGGATAATAAAGGACTCACCTGGAAGTTCCAGGGCCCCCCAACACCACCTGGGGCATTGGAGTGCATATGCTGAGAAACTAGAACAGGTCACAGGACCCGAAAACAACATTGGAGCTTGTTGTTTCTGGCAAGTGTCACCTACTGACAGGGACGTCAATTTGCAAACTCCATACAGCATTAACAAACTCAATCATACAAGGTGTGGGTGAACCACCTACTGCTTCAGAGATTACCTGGCATGTCATTATACAAACAAAAGAAAATGCAAAAGGAAGAAGCAACAGCTGCTCCAGATGAGAAGGAATCAGTGAAAGAACTCTGAAAATATGAAGAATCAGAGCAAAAGGGACATTCCAAAAAGGGAACACTAGTTCTCTATCAATGCATACCAACCAAAAGCAGAATATTGAAATGACAGATGAAGGGTTACAACATCAATTGTAAGCAAGTGCAATTAAATACAAGAGAAAATAGGAACCCAGCATAAAGAAACCACAAAAATAATGCAGAAAATGAATGAAAAATTCATTAAAGAAATTTAACTATTAAAGGAAAGTCAAACAGAACTTCTAGAATTGAAAGATTATTTCAAGTAATTATAAAACGCTGTGGAAACTTTAAAAATAGGATAGAATAGGCAAAAGAAAAAATTTCAGAGCTTGAAGATAATGACTTGAATTAAATACATCAGTTGAAGAAGCAAAGCAGAGAAATAAGGGGAATGGGCAAAGCCTACAACAAATATGGGATTATGTAAAGAGGTGTAATATAGAAATCAGGCATCCTTGAGGGGGAAGAAGAAAATACACAAGGGTTGAAAAACCTATTTGAGGAAATAATTGAGAAAAATTTTCTTGGCCTTGCTACAAATTGAGATATCTAGGTACAAGAAACTCAAAGGACTCCTGGGAGATTCATTGCAAAGGGCCAAACACCACAACACATGGTCATTAGACTGGCCAAAATAAACACAAAAGGGGCATTCCTGTGAGCCGCAAGGTGAAAGCATCAGGTAACTTATGAAGGAAAACCGATCAGACTGACTGCAGACTTCTCAACTGAGGCCTTACAAGCCGGAAGGATTGGGGCCCCATTCTCAGTCTTCTCAAACAGAATAATGGCCAGAGTAGGTTTGTATCCTGCAAAACAAAGTTTCTTACAGGTGGAAGAAATAAATACCTTCTAACAACAGACCTGCCCTGCAAAGAGTACTTAGCATAACATTATACATGGTTCAACACAATGGACACCCACCAGTGTAAAATCACCCAAAAGGTAAAGGTCAAAGCCAAGATACCATAATGGCTCAAGAGATAAAACAAAGCAATAGAGTTCTACCTAACAAGATGAACAGAAATTCACCCCACTTCTAAATTCTTTTGATAAATGTGAATGGTTTGAACTCCCGACTCAAGAGACATAGGCTGGCTGAAGAGATAAAGAAATACAACCCAATTATATGCTATCTTCAGGAAACACATCTACCCATAAGGACTCATTCAGACTCAAACTGAAGGGGTGAAAAATAATATTCCACGCAAATGGCAACCAAAAGAAAGCTGGTGTAGCAGTTCTCATATCAGATAACATAGTCTTCAAATTAACAAAAGTCATGAAACACAAAGATGTGCATCATATAATGGTGCATCACATAATGGTAATGGAGCAATTCAACAAGAAGTCTTAACAATTCTAAATACTTACACACCTAAAAAGGGTGCATCCAAATTCATAAACCCAATCCAAGTTCATCTGAACAAAATGATAAACAGCAACACAGTAATAACTGGGGTTGTCAACACCCCTCTGACAGAACAGGACATATCCTCCACATAAACAATAAACAAAAACCCATAGACTTAAACAGAACTCTAGAACTAATGGTCCTATCAGACATTTATAGAACACTGTACCCACAAATCATTGAATATACATTCTTCTTCTCAGCTCATGGGACATTCTGTAAGATTGATCATGTCCTAGGCCACAAAACATGTCTTAACAAATTTTAAAAAATATGAATTATGCCATGCATCCGCTCAGACCACAGTGGAATAAAACTAGAACTCAACTTTAACAGAAACACTCATCTCTACACAAAGTCAGGGAAACAAAACAGCCTACTGCTGAATGATAGTCAGGTCAAAGAGGAAATTAAGGTTGAAATCAAAAGACTTTTTGAACTAAATGATAAAAGGGAAACAAGTTATCAAAATCTGTGTAATACAGCTGAAGCAATCCTGAGAGTGAAATTCATAGCCATAAATGCCTGTATCCAAAAGACAGAAAGGTCACAAATCAAGAAATTAATGAATGGTCTCGATGGACTGGAAAATGATGAGTAAACCAATCCCCAAACCAGAAGAAGAAAAGAAATAGCCAAATTCAGAGCAAAACTAAATGAAACTGGTAATAAAAGAAACTATACAGATTAATGATAGAAAAAATTTCGCTCTCTGAAAAAATAAACAAAATTCCTCCCTAAGGACAATAGATTCAGCAGGCAGCAGCCAGGGGCGGGGGCCAAAACCAAGGCAGAATTGTGCTTGGCTTTATTATGAGATGGCGGCAGCAGCTCTGAACAGCACGAATTTGAGCCTTAGGGCCAACCTGAAATAGCGTTTGCAGGTGATGAGCCTTGAGGAGCAGCTACATCAGTCCCATGCACTGACCCAGAGGTGACTGCCCTCTAGGTGAGTATCAAAAGTTCAAAAGAATTTCCATCTTTCTGAGTATGCAAGATGAAATTAAGACAGACGTGATAATCAGGGATGATTTTCAACAAGGCAAAACCTGCTTTATCCCTCACTACCAGTTTCAGAGCAATCATGAGGATATGTGAAATTAGCATCACCAGAGCAAACTTCTTCACTTCCCCAAATGTCCTGGAATATTCATCAACCTAGTGAGGGTGATGTTTGGGAGTAGGCCTTGTCCACAGGGGGACTTGATCTTATCTTCATGCCAGGTCTTCTGTTTGACAACATGGCATCCAACTGGGGAGGGGCAAGGGCTACTGTGATGCCCACTTCAGGCACTGTATGCAGCATCAGGAAATGAAGCTCTACAGCCTTGCCCTGGCTTTCAAAGAACAATTTTGCCACTGGCTCCCAATGGATGAAAATGACGTGAAGGTAGATAAAGTCCTTTATGAATACTCCTCAATACGTTAAATTCACATCAAATAATTATTATTTTATATAAGAGTAAACAGAACGTATGTACTTTCCCTTTGTCAAAAATTACTTTAAATTGCACATTAAATGGACTGTATATTAAAAATTTGGTCATAAAATACCTAACATAGTAATGAAGCTATTTAAAAATTTTTTGTTTGTTTTTGTGTTTTTCTTTTATTTCATCATATTATGGAGGTACAAATATTGTTAGGGTTACAAATATTGCCCCTGCCCCTCTCCCTCCCCCCAATGTGTCCAATCCCCCGGTGGTGTGCATCACACACATTATGGAAGCATTTTTAAAAAATACAAACAATATTGATAGATCTCTATCTAGATTAACTAGAATGAGGAAAACAAAGGGCTCTAATAGCTCAATCAGGATTGAAAAAGAAGAAATTATAACTGATTCCACAGAAATACCAAATGCAATCTCTGAAAACCATAAACATCTTCATGCACATAAACTCAAAAATGTAGAGGAAATGGACCAATTCTTAGAAACACACAGTCTCTCTAGGCTCAGTATGGAAGAGACAGAGTTCCAGAACAGACTAATGTCAAGTGCCAAAATTGAAGCAGCAAAAAAAGTACCCACCCCCCAAAAAATGTCTTCCCACCCCAATTTTTCCAGACCTACAAGAAGAACTGGTACCTATCCTAAAAAAATTATTCCAGAACATCGAGAAGGAAGGAATCCTCCCCAACACATTTTATGAAGCCAACATCACCTTGATACCAAAGCCACAGAGGGACTCAACAAGAAAACTACAGACCAATCTCCCTTATGAATATAGATTCAAAAATTCTCAACAAAATCCTAGCAAATTAAAATCAGCTGTTCTTCAAAAATAATAAACCATGACCAACTGGGTTTCTTCCCAGAGATGCAAGGATAGTTCAACATATGAAAATGTATAAATGTAATTCACAACATAAACAGAAGTAAAAACAAGATCATACGAACCTCTCAATAGATGCAGCACAAAATTGAGCACCATTTTATGATAACAATGTTTAACAAAATAGGCATAGATGGGACTTGCCTCAAGATGATAAAAACCATATACAAGAAACCTACAGCCAACATACTGAATGGGGAAGAATAGAGCAGATGCCTTTTTCACAGAATGTTTTTTTTTCTGTAGGTAGATGCCCAGTAATGGCATTGCTGGATCAAATAGTACTCTTTGTAGCTCTTTGAGGTATCCCCATTGAAGTGTTACAAAAATGGAAAAACAAGCACCACATGTGCTCACCATCAAATTGGTATTAACTGATCAACACTTACGTGCACAAATAGTAGTAGCATTAATCAGGTGTCAGGTGGTGGGTTAGGGAGTAGGAAATGGGTATATTCACCTAATGGGTGCGGTGTGCACCATCTGTGGGATGGACATCCTTGAAGCTCTGATTGAGTTGGGGCAAAGGCAATATATGTAACCTAAACATTTGTACCTCTGTAATATGCTGAAATAAAAAAATTTAAAAAGGGAGACAACAAAAACAATAAAATAGAATTGAAATTTAGAAATAAACCTTAATATGTATCACCAATTCATTTTCAACATGTGTGGCAAGACCATTCAATCCAAAAGAAGCGTTTATTCAACAAATGATAGTGGGACATCTGATAATCACATGTAATTGAATGAAGCTGGTCCCATACCTCACTCCAATTGAAAATAATTCTGAAAGTGGATGAAAATTTATGGATAGGAACTAAAACTATAAAAATATGGGGATAAACATTATTGCCTTCAGATTTGCCAATGTATTCGTAGATTTGGTACTAAATGATAAAAGGAAAAAATAGATACACTGGACTTCAAAATTAAAATATTTGCACATCAAAGGACATAATGAAAACATAAGATGACAACCCACAGAATGGAAGAATGTATTTTCATATTATTTATTTAATATGAGTTGATTAAACAGCGTAATGGGTTTAATGTCAAGAAACATAAACAATTCCACAGCTCAACAAAAAGAAGACATAAAATTGAATTAAAAAATGAGCAAAGGACTTGAATATCATGTGTGCAAAGAAACAGCATGCCCATCTTCATCTAATGGTGTCATATTTTATATTTTCTAACTTCTGTAATTGCTCCCATTTTATATGAGAAGTGCATTCTACTTTCCTTACTCAAAATAATTCTGAAAGTGGATGAAAACTAAAGGATAGGAACTAAAACTGTAAAAATACAGGGGTAAATTTAATGTCCTCAGATTTGCCAATGTATTCATAGATTTCACACTAATGATGAAAGGAAAAATAGATATACTGGACTTCATCAAAATTAAAATATTTGCACATCAAAGGACATAATGAAAATATAAGATGACAACCTACAGAATGGGAGAAAGTATTTTCATATCATTTATTTAATATGGGTTGATTAAACACCTTAATGGGTTTAATGTCAAGAATATGTAAACAATTCTTACAGCTCAACAACAAGACACAAAACAATTAAAATGTGAGCTAAGGAGTAGAATATCATTTGTGCAAATAAACAGCATGCCCATGTTCATCTAATGGCATAATATTTTATATTTTCTAACTTCTTTCCAATTATTTTCATTTCATATGAGAAAGGCACTCTATTCTCCTCAGGTAGATTTTTTTTTGGAGTGTTCTAAGTCCTTTAATTCCATATGTATTAAAGTCCTACATTCTTCTTTTTAGTATTAAAAGTATCTAACACTCTATTAAGTTGCATATTCATTATGAAAATATATGTTCTATATTTATGGAAAAATAAATATTGAGAACAAAATCTATAGATAACTTATACAGAAAAGTGCCAGCTTTCTTTCTTTGTTCTTTTTTTTTCTTATTTTTTTTCTTTTATTTCATTATATTATGGGGGTACAGATATTGTTAGGGTTACATATATTGCCCCTGCCATCCCTCCCCCCACCATGCCAGAGCTTCAAGTGTGTCCAACCCCAGGTGGTACACACCACACACATTATGTAAGTATACACCCTTCCCTTCCCCCTTCCCCTGCCCACCACCCGATAATTTTTTTTTTTTTTTGGCATTTTGGTTACCAGATTATTTTTATTTAAAGAAAGTCAATGCATTCTAGCTATGAGAAACTTTAATAGTACATTTTCTATGAAGTTTACTGCAGATTTATAAATACAATATATATGTTAAGGGCTTGTCAAGTAGTGAGGCATGACCATTTAAACATGCCTAGTACATTAAAGAACTACCCAATGAATCACACAATGCACAAACAATCAAATGACTGTACTGTTGCTAATGTTTTACCTGCTCCATTTTGATCAGGAAACAATCAATAAAGTCTCGAGGGTTGTTAACATCCAAAGAGTCTTGGTGTTCTTTTGCTTTCTCCAAAATATAACTTCTTACAAGAGAAATATTTTCAACTAATTTGTTATGAATTCCAGGGAAATAATAAATGAGAACAGGGAAATTATTGCAGAGCTAAAACAAAACACAATAATTTCTTTAATAAAAACATGTAACAAAATATATATACCATACAGCAAGCCATGATTAGAAATCACAGGTATAACTGTGAGTAAAACATGGTGTCCATATTGACAAAGACATTTTTGTTGTGCATATATAGTAATCTTTTATGTTTATAAAAAGATATGAAGGAGAAAATTCTGACCTGAGAATCAAAAATGTTAATCATTTCCTAGACTCATACATCATTTTTTGTTGCATAAAACACTTTTCCATCAATTCCCTCAATTTTCACACCAATTCTTCTCTTGAAAGCCAGAAGTACATCAGAGTAGTTCAATAACTTCTCTAAGACCTAACAATTATTCTTAGGTTGAGTGTACATCATGCCCATTCACCACAGGGTAACATTGTGATGCTTATTTCTGGTTCGTACACCACAAAACCATTCATTTCATGCTTAACCCAGTTGTCAGCTAGGCTCCCATCTGAGGCATCAAACACCCCTGCACTAGGCAATGTTTCCTGACAGATTCTATGGTCCCAAATAGTTGTAGTCCTTGCAGGAGATATTCTCTTCTTAAATTAGGATACTTTTGCCAAGTAATACGATGAAGAGAACTCTTAAGTTTTCAGGACAAATCATGTAGGTAATGGAAGGCTTCAAAAAGGGCCTGGATGTGCATGAAATAATATAGGCATATTTGGGGCTGTCACCCAAGTACCTTGCAGAAGTGGGGCTTTGGGGGTGAGTGGAAAAAAAAAATCCAGCCAGAGAGCTAACAAGCTCAAAATCCAGCCCTACATTTATGCATTCACATCCCGTGTATAAAATAAAGAGCTCAGCCATCTGTCCCAGACGGTCACTTCATAAAGCTCTGGGAAGGACAGCAGTATTCAAACATGCACCTGACAGCTTGGTCCATATAGAATTTTGGATTTGTCAGAGAAAAGAGCATAAGTGGTTTCTCAGGAAGAAGAAATCCTAAACTCACCTGGATCCATGGGGAGCTTAGAATTTTGAAGTTTTCATTGAACTTCTCCATCAAGGTAAGAAAATGTTCATCTTTGTAATCAAAATGATTCTGGAAAACGATGGAGCAGATCACATTGCAGTGAGCACAACCCAGGATGAATGTGGGATCACAGGATGAGGCTAATGAATTCAAAACAATTTTTAAATACCATTAAAATATAAAAAACTTTGCCTTTGTAACAGGTAAAGGTAATTTTGAACTTTTAAGAAATATCTGACCAAAAAATTTTTCTAGCATCAAAAAATAAATTCACAGGTGTGAGGGCGAAGGAGGGGACAAGTATATACACACCTAATGGGACCAGTGTGCACCATCTGGGAGATGGACAGGTTTGAAGCACTGACTTGGGCGGGGCAAAGGCAATATATGTAACCTAAACATTTGTACCCCCTGTAATATGCTGAAATAAAACAAATTTTAAAAAAAGAAATTAAATTATATGAAAGGCTGTCCTTTATTTTTGGTAGGGAATCTCTAAAATGAAAATATTGTAATTAAGTGATCAGTAAATTTTATATGGAAGAATCTCCCAAACGCACATCTGAAGACTCTGATTAAGAATGACTTGAATCAAAAGTGTTCTGGTAGTAAAAAAAAAAAAAAAAAAAAAAAAAAAAAGTGTTCTGAATAAATGGTAGGGCATTGAACAACAGGAAACCTATAGAGTCAGCTGCTTCTATGCCAGGCTCCTTTCAACATTATAGGTCTTTAAGCTTTCAGAAAAAGTTTTATTTTAGCCAAGGAGAAGGAAGGTAACTTGCATAGCCATGGGATTGTATCTGTGTGTGTGCCTCTATGTGTGTGTACATCTGCACAAGTAAAATCTGATTTTCAATCTTTCATTTCATTTGAAAGAGAGAATTTTTATAAAGATAATTTAGAATCCAAGCTGATAATCAGATTAATTATAATAGGCACTTTATAGGTTAATAGAATTGGCAGGGGGAGGAAAGTAATTACCATAAATATCTAAGCTAAATTCAACAAACAGAGGGAAAACAGATAAGCAAAACTGAAAAGAGAGCCAAAGTTCTCTTAGGAAAGAAAGGCAAAGTGTTATCGATAATAGTTAAAATGTAGTTAAACAAATAATTTATGAATTGGTATTTGTGTATTTTTCAGATTATACTACAAAATATATTTACTCAAAAGAGAGAAATCCATACAGTATGCCATGTTAAACAAGAAATAATTAATGTTGATATTTTTTGAATAGTGCTTAATCTATAGAGAAATAATAATTGATAAGAATTACATTGAGATATACCTAAGCAAGTGAAGCCATACATAGCCTCCTCACTGGCCAGACTGCAGCAGGGCCTGACAGAAACACCCAGACATATCAGTGAGGCTGACCATGCAAACATGGCTCAGCTAAATGAAAGCACAGGTCACGTGGTAGGTGCTCTGTAAGTGTGTGTTGAGGTATTTCCCAGTATGACCATTTGCCATATATTCTCTGGTGAAATGTTTGGAAACAAGGAACTTACATTTAAGCTGTGGAAAAAGCGTTGCTTTATAACACTTTCTGAAAATGAACTCAAAATCTACACTCATGATTTCTGATTTGAAAACAAACAAACAAAAGTTAAGGGGAACATCAGATTAAGTGACCTGTTATATCCACACTGTCTGCACAATCATGCCTGTACACACAGCCCAGATGCACACAAGCTCCCTGAGCTCTGTTTCAAACCTCCCTCCTCCACTGCAGTGCTGACAACCAAGACCCAATTGAAAGATCTGGCCACCCTTGAATGTGTCCAAGGATGTCATTAGTGACGACAGCGGTCTGCAGTGGTCAGTGATGCAGAGTAGAGAGTCACCCACCCTTGGTTTTTCTCAACTCCTCCACAAGGCAGCGGGCCTCCTCTTGGACACGTTCCTCAATGCTCCTCTTCCCCATCCCGAAATTCCGCAGGGTCATGAGGGTGAAGCGCTGGATCTCCTTCCACCTATTTCCGTTGCTGAAAACGATTCCTACCAGAATGGGAAACAGAAACTAGGAGAGAAATCCCAGGCGAGGAGGAGGGAGCTGATACTCCACAGGGATGTGAGTGGGCCAAGCTCTGCCCACCCAAGCTATGTTTCCATCCTCACTACTCCCTTTACCACTTTTGACTCAGTGAGGCACATGTACACTTACCAAGTCCTTTACTAGTTCTTTCAGAAATTGGGAAAAGGCCTCTTCCAGAAAACTCCTCTCCATGATCAATCAGGGCTTCCTTCACTGCTTCATATCCATGTAACACCACAGCAGGCTTCATGCCAAAGTACACAGTGAACACAGGGCCATAGGTTTTTGAGAACTGGGAAATGGAAGCAAGATGCAAATACCAGCAAAATAAGTCACGATTTGGTCCATATTTTGTGCTTGATTCAGACTGATATTATCATTGTCTTATTAAATGTTTTTATTCTGCCACACACAGATTGAAATATGTCTGATTTTTATGCATAAATGTGATGGTGATAGTCATAGTGGTCACTTATCAATGAAGTCCTGTGTGCCCTACAATTGACCCAGGTTATTGGTATATAGATTACAATGAATTCTGACATTGCCAATCCCATCAAAATACCAATGTCACTTCTCACAGATCTCAATAAATTAAACCTAATCTTCATGTGGAACAAAAGAAAGAGTCCTAAGAGCCAAAGCCAGCTTATGCAAACAGAACAAATCTGGAGATATCTTACCTGATTTTAAATTATATTACAAGACTATAAAATCCTGAACATCATGGCACTGTATAAGCATAGAGACATAGTCCAATGGATCACAATAGAGACCTCAGATATAACACAATATAGCTATGACAACTGATTTTTCACAAAGAAATCAAAAACAGACACTGGGAAAAGGATGCTAGATTCAATAAATTGTGCTGGGAAAATTACATATCCACATGCAGAAGAATGAAGCAGGATCCCTCCTATCTCATGCAATATACAAAAGTTAACTCAAGATGGATTAAATATTAAACCATAAGACCTAAAACCATAAAAGTTCTAGAAGAAAAATGTAGGAAAAACTCTTCTAGACATTGGCTTAGGCAAAGAATTTAAAGGTAAGCCCACAACTAATGGAAGCGGAGCACACTGTGTGGAGGAAGGACACAGGTGTTGCCCTGGCTTCGGTGAGGCAAATGCATTACATACAACCAAAATGTTTGTAGCCCCATAATATCCTAAATTTAAAAAAAAGCTTTATAAAAAGATAAAGCTTAATAAATACTTTAAAAAGTTGGAAAAAAATAATTTATGAAAAGACCCAAATGTCCAAGACAGAAATGATATCAAATAAATAAATGGGGTGATTCAATTAAAAATTTTCTGCACAGCAAAGAAAATAATCAAAAGCATAAACAGACAGTCTACAGAAAGAGAGAAAATATTCACCAGGTACACACCCAACAAAGGACTAATATCTAGAATCTACAAAGAACTCAACAAAACCACAAGAAAACACTAATTACCCCAGTAAACAGAGGCCAAAAGACATGAACAGAGTTTTCTCAAAAGAAGATAGACAAATGGCCAAGAAACACATGAAAAGGTGCTCAGCATCACTGAATGTTAGGGAAATGCAAATAAAAACCAAAATGAGATTTCACATTATACCCCTCAGAATGGCCATTATAAAAAGTCTAAAAACAATAGATGCTTGCATGGATGCCCTGAAAAGGAATGATTATACACTGTTGGTGGGACTGTATACTGGTAAAATCTCTATGGAAAACAGTATGGAGATTCCTCAAAGAACTAAAAGTAGATCTACGATTTGATCCAACAATCCTACAACTGGCTATCTACTCAATGGTAAAGAAATCATAATTTCAAAAAGACAGCTGTGTCCAGTTGTTTAGTACTACACAGTTCACAACTCAAAGATATGGTACCAACCTAACTGCCCATCAAGTGATGAATGCATAAAGAAGTGTGGTGTATATATACACCATGGAGTGGCACTCAGCCATATGAAGGAATGGACTAATGTCTTTTGCACCAAATTGGATGGAACTGGAGACCATTATTCTAAATGAAATGTCTCAGGAATGGAGACATATGTTCTCACTAATAAACGGACATAAAGGATGGGTACACACTATCACAAAGATGTAAAGGATATTGGAAACCAAGAAGGGGAGAGGATAGGAGGGCAGTGAGCAATAAAAACATACATATCTGGTACAATGAACACTGCTCTGGTGACAGGCACACTAAAGTCCCGTCTTCAGCGTGACAAAATTCATCCATGGAGAGAAAACAATTGTACCCCTTTAATATTGTGCAATTAAAAATATTCTCACCTGAAAGACATTTGGCAGGTTAATTTGCCCTATTTTACAAATAAAGAAACTCAGGCCAGAGAATTAAAAATTCATTTTCAGTGTCCCACAGGTGATATACAGAACATCCAAATTTCAATCTGTACTTATTCAAATTTTGACTGTTAAGCAATTTTTCAGTCCCTCATGTCTGCATTGAGACCAATACTTAGCTGACTGCTTCAGGATCACATGAGAAGATTTTGCCATGGAAATCCTGAATCAGTACCCCTGGATGAACACTCAGAATCAGTATTTCTAAAAGTCACAACAGATGATTCTAACGTCCAGACCTCTTTGGGATCTGCTGTTATTATCGACACTGAAAGAGTGAGCCTCACAGAGGCAGCACCAAGACATGTAACATCTACTGGCAGAACATTTAACATCCACCAGCATTCTGGGCTACTGATAGCAGCTTTCTGCAGAATCCAAAAGAATTCTGTTACCACCAATTGTGTCCTGACTGATCACTTGTTTCTTTCATTCACTTATGTTCATCCTGAACCCATAGCTACTGGTATTTCCTTGATGTCAGACATAAATTCACTATTCAGAGAAATTAAATTTTCATGGCTACTCTTGTTTTTGTTTTTTATTTTAGCGTATTATGGGGGTACAAGTGTTAAGGTTACTTATATTGCCCATGCCCCCTTCCCCCCTTGAGTAAGAGCTTTAAGCATGTCCATCCCCCAACATTGCACATCTTACTCGTTGTGGTTGTATATACCTCTCCCCTACTCCCCCCCCTCCTGACACCCAATAAATGTTACTCCTATATGTCCACTTAGGTTTTGATCTGTTAATACCAATTTGCTGGTGAGTACATGTGGTGCTTGTTTTTCCATTCTTGAGATACTTCACTTAGTAGAATGGGTTCCAGCTGTATCCAGGAATATACAAGAGGTGCTATATCACCATTGTTTCTTAAAGCTGAGTAGTATTCCATGGTATACATATACTACATTTTATTAATCCACTCATGAATTGATGGGCACTTGGGTTGTTTCCACAGCTTTGCAATTGTGAATTGTGCTGCTATAAACATTTGAGTGCAGGTGTCTTTTTCATAAAGTGACTTTTGATCTTTTGAGTAGATGCCCAGTAGTGGGATTGCTGGATCAAATGGTAGATCTACTCATATCGCTTTGAGGTATCTCCATATTGCTTTCCACAGAGGTTAAACTAGTTTAACCCACCAGCAGTCCCACCAGCAGTGTAGGAGTGTTCCTGTCTCTCCGCATCCACGCCAGCATTTGTTGTTTGGGGACTTTTTGATAAAGGCCATTCTCACTGGGGTTAAGTGATATCTCATTGTGGTTTTGATTTGCATTTCCCTGATGATTAGAGATGTTGAACATTTTTTCATGTTTGTTAGCCATTATTCTGTTTTCTTTTGAGAAGTTTCTGTTCATGTCCTTTGCCCGTTTTTTGATAGGATTGTTTGATTTTTTTCTTGCTGATTTTCCTGAGTTCTAAATAGATTCTAGTTACATGGCTACTCTTAATAAAACTTATGGCTATTATGACTTATTGAATAAAATATCTAATCACACACACTCTTCTTATCATTTACCTCAAGCCAAAAATTATAGCAAATGGCTACAAAACCAAGAAGGAACATAACACTGCTAAATATTGCTACTATGTTATTTTGTTTCTACCATACAACAGCCTAAATGTTTCTCTACTCACAAAATTCATTACCTTATTCCACTATTTCTGACAGTGACAGACTAGAAAAGGCAATAGAAGCATCCAAGTTGATAGGGATTATTTTGTTTTCCGATGATCTATTATAGAAGTACACTTCCAGTAGTACATTCCCTCTAAAATGGGAAGTCTAATAACTTCCCCTTTGCAAGCCACCGGAAGAGTACAAAACACACTTACATTGTTCAGAGTCTTCCTGATGTCCTTAACATCCATCTGCAGGATATTTCCAATAATTGGGAGAGGAGTGGGGCCAGGAGGGAGTTTGCCTCTCCCAGGGTTCTGTCTCCAAAGGAAGATGATAAGCAAACAGGAGAGACAGAGCACCAGAACCACAGCTGGGTCCATTGCAGCCTTCTCTTCTTACCAAGACAACTGTGAGCTTGCAAAAACTCCAAGGCTTGCATTAACACTCCCTGTTAATGCAGTGTCTGCTCTGTGACCTGCATAGTGGCTAAGCACATAGACCCAGTTGATGTCCTCTTCTGAGTGGACTTTGGCCCACTGAGAGAGAGAAAAACAAAATGTACTCTACCCTTCTTCTTTCCAGTATGCGACCTGCACATTCTGGTTTAATTGTATGGGATTTTAGCCCATGTATTGGTAATTTTCTTAAGGCCCTTTGGTTCCAGTGAGCTCTCATGACAGAGAAGAACTGAAGCAAATAATTGATGAAAGACAATCACCAAAAATTCTAGATTTTTGGAGTAAAGACCAGCTCAGAATGTATTATTTTGAGAAAGATCAGTGTATTCTATGGCTTGCATATAAAATGTGTATGTTTGGATGCTATATCTAACATTAACAGAGGTTGTCCTTGATAACAGAATCCTTTCAAATACATAATACACTTTATTAACATGATGGCTGCCTAAAGATGAAATAGCAGACACAATACATACATCTAGAATGAGAAAACATAAATCAAGTTACTAGATATTGACATGAATTTCAGTTAAATGAAGAACAATCTCAGACGGCAGAAATTATCATTTCTTATTTTTCAAATGGAGAAGTGGAGGCTGGGAGAATAGGAGACCTGTCAGTACAGAAGCACCACAATGTGCAGACCTGAACGGGACCTGACTGATGGTTAGTGGGCATGACAGTCTCCATACAACCAGAATGACATACATTACAGATCACTGATGACAGTGCTTGTGCAAAGGTGTGATCTGTAAATATGTCATCATATAGTTTCTAGATTTACTAGTGCAGTTATTTCCACCTGTTTTATTAAGAAATATTAACTTATGTCAAGACCCAGTTACACAATGTTTTATCAGTGATGTTTACAGGGATTCTGACAATTTACAGAGAATTTCCACACACACCATATATCTTTTGATTCTCTCAGGTACCTTTGCCTGAGGTAAAATTATTCTCATTTTGGGGAAGGAAATGCTGGGCCTTGGAGATAGGTACTTTGGCCAAGGACACACAGACTGGGGGTGGAAATGCTGAGACTGGAATCAATAACCCAGCATTTGTACCGTACCGCAAGGAAAACATTCAGTTCAACAGGGTTACCCAAAATTTACATATTGTGTGGTAAGGTTCAATATTTTGTTATTCAACCTAGTCAGTGACTTTCAACTTGAACATTAATTTAGTTAGATATTACAGCACCAATTGACTGAACTGGGGGTCAAAGACTTTGGTTTTACAACCTTTAAAACTTGAGTTGGCACAGGCATGTTAAACACCTTAACCAGAGCAAAGGGAAAGAATTTTCTATCTGACTCACATTGGTCTAAAAGAACCACACCGGCTTCTTTGGATAAAATAAGCTCAGTTGCTCTCTGGAGAGCAATCATTTCCTTCCTTGAGACGTAGGTGTCCCTGCTCTGCTCTTCCTCCCTTCTGCTGAGCTGAGGCTCCTGTACTGACCTTTCTTTTAACAGAATGAAAGACTCATAGACAATTTAGAGGGATCTCTGAAATCAACAGTTCTAAGCTTTGTTTTGCTTTTTAGGAATGAGCAATTGGCGACTCAGTGAGATAATGTCACCAAGGCATCAGCACAAGATATCATACTTCGCTAGTTCAACTCCAACATGGCAGTGTTCATTGCTAGTCCAACTCCCAGTTCAGGGACATCTCATATCAAATTCTCACAGAATTCCCATCTTGGCCCCCTTCATCAGGAGATGATCAGCATTAAGCCCACCACAGTTGAAGGGTAAAGCGAGCTTTAGCTTCACTGGAGTTGTGGATTAGAGAGGATTTTTTTTAAATTATAGAATTTATTTTTTAGAGGAGTTTCAGGTTCCCAGCAAAACTACATAAGAAGTACACAGGTGACCATATACCCTCTCCTAGCACCCACCCATATGCTCTCTCACAATAAACTATCCTAATCAATGTGGTTTATTACAATCAATGATCCAACAGTTACACATAATTGTCAACCAAAGTTTATAGTTTACATAAGCTTCACTATTTGTGTTGTACATTCTATGGGTTTTGACTAATGTCAAATGAAGGGTACAATGACATGTACCCTTCATTCTAGTATCATACATGATAGTTTCATTGCCCTAAAAATCCTCTGTGCTCTGCCTATACAGCCCTCCCTTCCCCCAAAGCCCTTGGCAAATGAATGATCATTTGGTGTTGCCATGGTGCAATATATGCCATTTTCCAGAATGTCATATATTAATAGTTGGAATCAAACAGTATGTGGTCTTTTCAAATTGGTGCCATTTATCAACTTATATGCATAAGTTTCCTCCATGTCTTGAAAGCTCATTTCTTTTTAACATTAAATAATATTCCATTTTATAGATGTGCAATGTATCAAATTTTGTTTATCCATTTACAGTTTTGCATTTTACACTTAGGTCTTTGAACTATTTTGAGTTAACTTCTGTGAATGGTGTAAGGTATACATGTCGATTCATTATTTTGCATGAATGTCCAATAGTTCCAGCAATATTTGTTGAGAAGACTATCATTTCCCCATGGAATTGTCTTTGCTTCTTAGTAAAAAATCTGTTGTCTATATTGTGTGGAACTTCATTCTATTAAACTATATTTCTAATATGTGTAGTATTTATTTCAGGCTTTAAATTCCATTCTAGTAATCTATTTGTCTAATATTTTGTCACTACAACACTGTCTTGATTACTGTAGCATTATAGTAAGTCTTGAAGTCAGGTAAGGCAGGGTTAGCCTCCCAACTTTGTTCTTTTCCTTCAATATTGGTTATTCTCAGTTTTTGGCCTCTCTATATAAACTTTACAATCAGATTGTTGTTAACTAAAAAAGAAAAGTAACTTATTTGGATTGTAGTTGGGATTGAATTTTATCTACAGAGCAAAGTAAGAAGACTGATGACAATAGTGAGACCTCGTGTATGAACATAGAATATCTGTTCATCTATTTAGATCTTCTTTGGTTTCTTTCATCAGATGTTTGTAGTTTTCTTCAGATTACCTCATACATATTTTCTCACACTTTTCTAAGTATTTCTAAGCATTTCAGAATTTTTGTACTAATATAAGTGATATTATGTTTTTAATTTCAATTATTTATTGCTAGTATATAGGAAAGTAATTTGCTGCTTTATGTTAGCCTCATATCCTGCAACATTACTATTAATACAATTGCTTATAAATTCCAGGAGTTTTTCCTTAACTTTTTTTGTTTTATATTTTCTTTTTTGTGTTTCTGGGAGTTCTTCGATTCTTTGGGATTTTCTACATAGACAATTATGTGATCTGCAAATGGCAGTTTTATTTCTTCCTTCTCAATCAGTATAGCTTTGTTTCCTTTTCTTGTTGTTGCATTAGTTAGGATTTCCAGTATGTTGTCAAATAGGAGTGGTGAGAGGAAGCATCTTGCCTTGTTTCTGTGATTAGCCAGAAAGTTTCAATTTCTTGCCATTTAATGATGATGTTAGCTATAAGGTTGTTGTAGATGCTCTGTATCAAGTTGAGATAATTGCTCTTCAATCCTAGTTTGCTGAGAGTTGTTATCAGGAAGTTGTGTTGAATTTTGTGAAATTCATTTCCACATCACTTAAGATCATCAAGCAATATTGTCTACTTCAGCAAGTTAAAGTAATGGAATACATTAGGGAATTTTCAAATATTGAACCAGTCTTGCATAACTAAAATAAATCCCACTTGGTATTGGTATATACTATAATTCTTTTTATATACTGCTGAATATAGTTTGTTAATACTTTGTCAAGGAGATTTGTTTCTATTTTCCTTAGCTATATTGGTCTGTGGTGGTTCTTTTCTATAATGTCCTTCTCTGGTTTTGCTATTAGGATAATGCTGGCCTCATAGGAAGAATTCCTTCTACTACTACATTCTGGAAGAAGTGGTTAAGAACTGGTGTAATATCTTCCTTAAATGTTTAGTGTAATTCACGAGTGAACTTATATGGGCCTGGTGCATTCTACTTTGGAGGTTATTTATTAATGATTGAATTAATTTGATACACAAAGGCCTATTCAAATTACCTATTTCTTCTTCTATGAAATTTACCAGATTTTGTCTTTAAAGACTAATTGACTTCATCTAAGTTATTATATTTAAGAGCATAGAGTTGTGCATAATATTACTTTATTATGCTTTTAATGTTCATGGCATCAGTAGTGATGGCTCCTCACTTAATTCTGACATTAAAATGTGTCTTCTCTCTTTTTGTTCTTAAACTGAATAGAGGTTTCTTGAATTTATTTTCAAAGAACCTGCTTTTGATTTCATTGATGTTCTTTATTCATTTCCTATTTTCAATTTCCGCCATTTCTATTCTGATTTTTACTATGTCTTTATTTGGTTTATTTGTATATAATTGGTTCTTCTTTTTCTAGTTTCCTAAGGTGGATTGTTGTAATACTGATTCTATGTCTTACTTCTTTTCTAATATTTGCAATCAGTGCAATAAATTTCCCTGTAAGAATTGCTTTCACTGTATTCCACAAATTTTGAAAAGTTCTAATTTTTAATATGAAAATATTAAGTGGGTACAAATGTTTTTGTTACATGGATACCTTGTATAATGCTTAAGTCAGGGCTTTTAGCATGCCCATCACCTGATAACTATTCATTATACCAGATAGGTAGGTTTTTACCCCTTCCTTCTTCCCCCCTCCTTCCTTCTTGATTTCCAATTACCTTAACATCTCTCTGTGCCCATGTGTACCCATCAATTAGTTCCCAATTATTGTTTTTCCTTTCCTGAGATACTTTACGTAGGATAATGGTCTCCAGTTTCATCCAAGTTGCTACAAAAGACATTATTTCATTAATTTTAATGGCTATGTAGTACTCCATGGTATATATAAAACACATATTGTTAATGAACTCATGAATTGATTGGCACTTAGGTTGGGCACAGTCTTTGTGATTGTAAATTGTATTGCAATAAACAATCAAATGCTGGATCTTTTGATAAAATGACTTCTTTTCCTTTGGATAGATACCAAGTAGGGGAGTGCTGGATTGAATGATAACCCTATATTTATTTC